AAGTTTTGTATATTTTGCAGATTTCTTTTTTTAATAGACATCCTTAGCTGGAATTAAGGTTGGGATAATAATAGTAATGTTAGCACTCCTTTTGTATCTAATTGTAATTGTATGTAAGTCTGACCGTCAGAGGGATCACACCTACAGTCTGACCCTCAGAGGGATCACACCTAGAGTCTGACCCTCAGAGGGATCACACCTACAGTCTGACCGTCAGAGGGATCACACCTACAGTCTGACCGTCAGAGGGATCACACCTACAGTCTGACCGTCAGAGGGATCCCACCTACAGTCTGACCGTCAGAGGGATCACACCTACAGTCTGACCGTCAGAGGGATCACACCTACAGTCTGACCGTTAGAGGGATCACACCTACAGTCTGACCCTCAGAGGGATCACACCTAGAGTCTGACCCTCAGAGGGATCACACCTACAGTCTGACCGTCAGAGGGATCACACCTACAGTCTGACCCTCAGAGGGATCACACCTACAGTCTGACCGTCAGAGGGATCCCACCTACAGTCTGACCGTCAGAGGGATCACACCTACAGTCTGACCGTCAGAGGGATCACACCTACAGTCTGACCCTCAGAGGGATCACACCTAGAGTCTGACCCTCAGAGGGATCACACCTACAGTCTGACCGTCAGAGGGATCACACCTAGAGTCTGACCCTCAGAGGGATCACACCTACAGTCTGACCGTCAGAGGGATCACACCTACAGTCTGACCCTCAGAGGGATCACACCTACAGTCTGACCGTCAGAGGGATCCCACCTACAGTCTGACCGTCAGAGGGATCCCACCTACAGTCTGACCGTTAGAGGGATCCCACCTACAGTCTGACCCTCAGAGGGATCACACCTAGAGTCTGACCCTCAGAGGGATCACACCTACAGTCTGACCGTCAGAGGGATCACACCTACAGTCTGACCCTCAGAGGGATCACACCTAGAGTCTGACCCTCAGAGGGATCACACCTACAGTCTGACCGTCAGAGGGATCACACCTACAGTCTGACCCTCAGAGGGATCACACCTACAGTCTGACCGTCAGAGGGATCCCACCTACAGTCTGACCGTCAGAGGGATCCCACCTACAGTCTGACCGTTAGAGGGATCACACCTACAGTCTGACCGTCAGAGGGATCACACCTACAGTCTGACTGTCAGAGGGATCCCACCTACAGTCTGACCGTCAGAGGGATCACACCTACAGTCTGACCGTCAGAGGGATCCCACCTACAGTCTGACCGTCAGAGGGATCACACCTACAGTCTGACCGTCAGAGGGATCACACCTACAGTCTGACCGTCAGAGGGATCACACCTACAGTCTGACCGTCAGAGGGATGGGATCACACCTACAGTCTGACCGTCAGAGGGATCACACCTACAGTCTGACCCTCAGAGGGATCCCACCTACAGTCTGACTGTCAGAGGGATCACACCTACAGTCTGACCGTCAGAGGGATCCCACCTACAGTCTGACCGTCAGAGGGATCACACCTACAGTCTGACCGTCAGAGGGATCACACCTACAGTCTGACCGTCAGAGGGATCACACCTACAGTCTGACCGTCAGAGGGATCACACCTACAGTCTGACCCTCAGAGGGATCCCACCTACAGTCTGACTGTCAGAGGGATCACACCTACAGTCTGACCGTTAGAGGGATCACACCTACAGTCTGACTGTCAGAGGGATCACACCTATAGTCTGACCGTCAGAGGGATCACACCTACAGTCTGACCGTCAGAGGGATCCCACCTACAGTCTGACCGTTAGAGGGATCACACCTACAGTCTGACTGTTAGAGGGATCACACCTACAGTCTGACTGTCAGAGGGATCCCACCTACAGTCTGACCGTCAGAGGGATCCCACCTACAGTCTGACCGTCAGATGGATCCCACCTACAGTCTGACCGTCAGATGGATCCCACCTACAGTCTGACCGTTAGAGGGATCCCACCTACAGTCTGACCGTCAGAGGGATCCCACCTACAGTCTGACCATTAGAGGGATCCCACCTACAGTCTGACCGTCAGAGGGATCCCACCTACAGTCTGACCGTTAGAGGGATCACACCTACAGTCTGACCGTTAGAGGGATCACACCTACAGTCTGACTGTCAGAGGGATCACACCTACAGTCTGACCGTCAGAGGGATCCCACCTACAGTCTGACCGTTAGAGGGATCCCACCTACAGTCTGACTGTTAGAGGGATCACACCTACAGTCTGACCGTCAGAGGGATCACACCTACAGTCTGACTGTCAGAGGGATCACACCTACAGTCTGACTGTCAGAGGGATCACACCTACAGTCTGACTGTCAGAGGGATCACACCTACAGTCTGACTGTCAGAGGGATCACACCTACAGTCTGACTGTTAGAGGGATCACACCTACAGTCTGACTGTCAGAGGGATCACACCTACAGTCTGACTGTCAGAGGGATCACTGGAATCACTTGAACGCTCATTAAATTGTCACTTCTCCCAATGGAGTTTGGCATTTCCCCTCCCATACAGACGGAGGAGCGTTATCAGGAAGCAGCAGCGTGTCACAAACTGTCTGTCAGCGAGGAAAAAGCCTGACTGAATTATGTCTGTAGTGTCAACACTGGCACTGTAACTGTAAGTAGGCGTAATATGACGACCCGTCAAACTGTCCAATACGTCTTCACTTCGATGAAGATAACTTAAGAATCTGTCCCCAAAAAAAAGAGATCTGCTTAAAACAGTGACAGTTCAGAGTTTAGTGCTTTTGTTTGTTAATGCACTTCTTACTTTTAAACACTTGGGACGGATCAGTCTGCTGTCACCTCCGAATATTATCACAAGCTTCACATGCTTCAAATTGACAGCTGGAATTATTTTAGCTGACAAAATGTTAGACTCAACGTCAAGTTCTTGGTGAAGGAAAGAAAAGAGTGAGGGCGTCTCTCTGGAGCCTTTTAAAATCAACAAAGGAGGAAACATATCAATCAGGGCAACTTTTATTCTTAGTTACAGCTTTTAAAAAGAAGTACAGGGGCTGCAGTGATGCTTAAACCTCGTTAGGAAAAGGGCTGATAATAATTTAGGTAAATCACCAGCATTAACAAAAATGAGGAGTGTCCAATTTAAACAAAAAAACAAACAAATTGGATTCACTTTTGTAACATAACAACATCCCTATGTAACGCTCGTGCTTCTATTGACTCGCGCTCCAACACATTGTACGTGATTGGACATCTCTAAGCTGTTGACCAATCACAACAGAGCCGGCCAGCTAACCAATCAGAGCAGACTGGGCTCTGGTTTCAGACAGAGGGTGAAAAGAGGTGCTGCAGCACAGGCAGTATGAGAAAAATAAAGAGCTTTTTGATCATTAAAGCATGGAGACATGTCCCAGTGGAGACAATTATAAACCTGAAAATGTGCATAATACGTCTTCTTTATTGCAACTGAATAATGAATTAATAATAAATAAATCCAATGTAATTTAAAAATACAAAACAATTATCCCAGGAAAGAAATGCAATGCAAGAAGCTGCTCTGGTTAGGTCTAATTTGTCTTGATGTTTCTCTAGAGCAGGGGTTCTCAAAGTTTTGATGAGTGAGGGCCAATTTAGGTACCCAATATTGGATTGAGGGCCGCCCAAGAAAAAACGGAACACAAAATAATTCCAAAACAAATCCTTTCTTTATTGTACTAACCAATTACCGCAACTCGCGAGATGCCTAGTTGCCATGCAACCAGTAGTCTAGCAAACTTTCCACAAGCTGTCATTCATAATTTAGGAATGACAACCCAGGGGGTGCAGTTTTACCATTCTTAAATTCCATTCTAATTCTTACTAGATACAACCATGGAGGATTAAAATATAACGCATGCATTTCAGCGTGTCACATTAACTATCGCGGGCCGCCAGAAACATTTCCGAGGGCCGCCATTGGCCCGCGGGCCGCACTTTGAGAACCCCTGCTCTAGAGTTAACATTATACTAAAGAGCTGAATGCCTTTTAATGCTCTCTCTAGCGAGCACACGCGCCCTTACACCTGTAGGGATCTGCACACCTGATTAGTACCTAGAGGGAGAGGGGAAACAGTGCATCAGGGAACATAAACCATGCACTCCCTTACATGTGTGGAAGTGTCACAGTGCAGCTGCAGCAGTGTGTGAAACAGCAAAGTGAGTC